TCTAAGAATGTTAGCTCTAAATATAAATGGCTTAACTCTTTCCTTTAATTGCCACTATCTTTAAAAACACCCCTTTTGTTGGGAAAGTGGTATAATCTAGTTAGTATCCTGGATTTAAGTCCCAACTTATCATTGAACTAGTCATTTAAGTTTCTTAAGTCAGGTTACTCAGTTTTAAGTTGTATCAAACCACGTGAGCATCAATGGTGATATAAGAAGGGAATCTAGTTCCATACATGAAATTTATTACATAACAAAGATCCAGTTAGTTTAATCTCAAATGACTTAATTTTTCTAATTTAAACACACACACAGGCATATATCACACGATATTTGCATTAATAAACAAATGTATTGATATAATCAAAATACCCTAATGGCATGAAACTGGTTAAATAACTTATGGAACATTTACAGCCACAAATATAGCTTAGCCATTATAAACAATGAAAGCCTATTCTTCCTTGTTACAGACATAAACACTAGCTATTGATTCTTTTCAAAGCTGATTGCTAAAGAGCATATAATTGGCCAAGAGAGTTAGTTTTCCATATTTGTTCCAATACACACAAAATATGTGTTCCCATGAGAATCCCAATATGTAAACACACCCTTTTGTATTAAAAGCAAAAATGCCCCTCGATGCGATCTTCCCATCTCCTGCGTTTCCTTCCCCACCAGCATCCGGACCCTGCTTTACTCTCTATCACACCTCAAGTTTACCTTAGGTGTCTAGGACTTTACTGCAACTGTTTCTAAAGCACCTCTAACAAATCCTACTGCAGCGCTCAAGTACAGACTGTCCGGGGGTTACCTTAATAACCTGGACATACTAACACTTCTCCCTTCAGATACACCCTACCTTTGTTTTCCAAGTCCCCACCACCACCCGATTACTCTCTCCCAATCTTCTGTCTTTCTCTTAAATGATGATATGCCCAGGGATACTTCTTCTCGAGCCATATCTCTTTGCTCTACATTTTTATCATGGGCCGCCACTCAGGACTGGACAGGAAACGTTCATCTATACACTAGTGATTAGCGATTATCCTCTTTTCCTTCAACCCTAGCCTGAGCCCATCCCAGCTTCCCACTGCTTAGCGCATTGTAACTGGCTGTTTCAATGCGTCTGCTTCACCTATTCGAATGCTACGTATCATCAGACAGCTAGTTATCCATATGGAAATCTTGTGCTCCATATTCACTCCTATGACTCCCCTAGCTTTTCGTACATAATTAACAGTCATGTGCCAGGGATTCTATTCCAGTTTCACACTTGTGCCTCTAATCACAGAGCCTCTACCTTGGAGGACATGTTTATTTTCTCTGTCTTGGACTGTTATCATTTCGTAAATGGTCTCTTTTTACATCATCCTCAAAGACATACTACATATTGTTTATTATGGTAACTCTAGAAAAAAAGGGGGAAAAAAAGCCCATCCATATCTTGTCACTCTCCTGTGTCAAGGTCTTCTCCATGAGCCCAGTGCGGGTCACAGAACAGCATCCAAAGGTCCCTGTGTGGCCACTGGGCCCGCCACAACATGCCCCCTGGGACTACTCTGGCTCAGCCCCTCTCTGTTCCCCTGGACTCAAGTCAAGAGTCTTTAGAATTCATGAACAGGGCAAACTATTACTAACCCCCCACCCCTGGGCTTTTACATGGATGTTCTCTTTGCTGGGCAGTCATCCATTTTCTTTACCTAATAAGCTTATTCATCCTTCAAAAATGTCAGTAAGTCTCCTTTGATGCTTTAGGCAAACTTAGAACATTACTCTTTTGCAGCTCATAGCACTTGATTTGTGGGAAGATCTCGCATTAAGAGGCCTTCTGATTCCTTGTCCTCCACTGGCTCTTAGGACCAGCTGCTGTGTGCCCAGCACAGTGAAATTTGTTCTTCAGGCATTTGAAACTTGATTTACTTAGATGACTATCAAATATGGGGTCAGAAACTATGCCTACCTGCTTATAGGTTTTTAGTAAAGCAATGGCAAATAACAGAAGGGGAAAGTGGAGGTGGGCAAAAGGGACGGAAGTATTCACTCTAATCTTCAACTATCAACTCGGGTCAATCACAGCCCCTCATCAAAGCGAATATGGGAACCCCATTATCCTTGCAGATGACTGGCGTGTTGTTGAATGTGGCATTGGCATAGATCTGTGAGTTTCAGGGCTTCTCTCCTAGGAGGCAAGGTAATTAATTAGATGCTAATTAGATACCCTGGGGTGGCCCTCCATATTTCTACTGCTTCTCTTTCCCTTCCTAACCACATTTCCAGTATTTCCTTTTGAGAAAAAATATAAACCGACTCTTTTATACTCTTATGATCTTAAATTTAGCATTTACAACAGTAAAAAAAATCTACTATCAGACTATTTTGCACACGAAAGGCATCTGTCCGGCAGTAGCAAAAATGGAGGTACAAGGTGAGAGTAACCTTGGCCAAGATGACTAAGTTATGTGGCAACGTGGCTGGGTCATGACTCTCCTGTGATCCTCCTCCATGTTTGTGCAACGCCCTAGGCTTTGGCAGTGTAACTCGGTACGTAAGGAGAAGGTGCACGTGCCCTGGCCACAGACCCATTGGTTAGACTCAAGCAAGACGCTTTCGTTTCCATGGCAACTTGAAGATTACCTAGTCGAACCGCACTTTGACACTTAACATTCTTTAAAGTTTTCCTTCAAATATACCCTTATCCAAACAACAACAACAACAACAAAAAAAAACCCCCAATGCCATCAAGCCAATTCATCTCATACCAATGCTATCTGCACACCAATAAAGCAATGACTCTGGACGTATTCCAAATGCGGACAGCTGCATTTAGAAATGTCCTTGCATGAAGTTGATTTTTCCCTGCTGTTCAACTCTCATCTTTTTCTCCTTATTTTCCGTACTATGAAGCAATGTAGAGTGTATTAGTGAACGGACTTTTCAAATATAAAAAGGGCCTTAGTAATTCTTTTGGGAAATGTGTTTTTTGAAACTAAACTTTACCAAGACCCCTTGCCTCCTTTAGAATCAAGTCTAGCCCTTTCACCAGGCTGCTTGTCCCACTTCAGGTGACATCAGGTGTACATTCATTTCTTAATGTTTGGTGCAGAATGCGGCTGTGCCAGCTTCAGAGGAAGAAGCTTCCCAGGCTCATTTTCCTCAGTCTTCTTTGCACTCAGTACAGCGCACTATTAGATTGACATGTGGGACAGACGTTCTACCTCAGTCTAATATTGAACTTATTGTTTTACGCTCAATTCTGATTCCTAAATGTTGTCTTACTTTTAAATTCTTAAACCCCTAAGCTAAGAATCTAGAGCCAAGTAAAATCGATAAAAATACAATTCAAAAATTAATAGCATAGGGTTATTCTTTAAGGGATTTCTCTCGTTATTTCAGAATATAAACAGAAGTGATCCTGAATTACACCTGAATCTAACAATATAAATGTTCATACAAAACTTAAAAAGTAGCGTCTCAACAAAGCAAGAACAGGAAAAAAATCAAATAGAATTTTAAGGATTTAGAAAGAAGTATGACCCTTTCTACATTCTTGAAATAAATCTTAGGTTACACACCCAGATACTTCAACATTGTATGTGCATAAGAGAATGGTATCTCTCAAGGTTTGTTTCAAGAGATCTCACTGCTGTGGGATGTTCACATATACTGAGGGAAAGAAATATGAGATTAAAAAAACTTTCCAGGTTTTCTGATTATAAGATCATTCAGGAACTTAAAACTTCCAAAAGTGATTTGTGACATCTTACACTTCATAAAAGACCAAACTCACTTTAAACTAGTTCATAAGACTCATAAGTCCAATTACTGGACTTCACCCTACAGGTTCTAATTCAGTGATCTATAACAGCCTCCAAGAAGCTGCACTTCCAATGTCTTCCGAGATCCTGACAATCTAAACACTGCTTTGGGAACCCCCTGGGATTTGACTGGGGACTTTTTTTTTCTTTTGATGGAGCACACCTGGTGAAGACACTTTTCTAGAAAATAAAAGCATTGGGGAGCCCACTGTAAAACTCTGAATGAACAAGAATCTGGAGTTTCAAAAATTTTATCTTAAAATTTATGAAAGAAAAAAATAACCACATTTTCAAGATCCAGTAAATCACCTAACTAGTCCAAGTATGTCTACTTCTGTAAGGCTGTGTTCAAAATGTTTCTTACATGTAAGGCTTCAAAGGGGCTGGAAACATTTCATTATCATTTAATTTAAAAATTTCCATGAACTTTTAGAAGCCAACTTGTATTTAAAAGGTTGTTTGACCAAGATATCATTTGTCCTCAACGCAGAAACCAGGTAGAATCGTTATCCGTAGATGAAGGGAACATGTATTTGGAAAGTTCTTAAGAATAGTTTTTAATAAACAAAGATGCTGCATTTGGGATGAATTATCACTAGAGTAAAAAACAACAGTTCTAATGGAAAAGCCTATTGTTTGTCATGAAATTCATTGGCAAAATCTATTATTATCTGTCTCCTTTTATTTAAATATGCGCTTTTAAATTTCATCTTGACAACCTTTGTAACTTGAGGAGGTGAGCATTAAAATGAAGAGTATTTAAGAATACACTCAAGCAAAGAAAAATTGAAACTTGACAACATGTAGAAATGTCACGGTACTTTCACAACATAAGGCTATTCTTCCAAAAACAATACGTAGCTCTAAAGACACACATGTCCAATTACAAACACAGTGCACACACAGTCAGTCTGGGGGCAGCCAGCTACTATACACTGCACATTAGCTAAATAGTGCAAGTCATCTAAATCATCACAGCACAAACAATACTTGCCCTCCCCTCTCATTAATATTCTCTCAAGGAATGGCTTTCTAAAAAGAAAAAAATGAATTCATAAGAATTTCACAAATCCAATATGAAACAAATGAATGCATAATTGGAAAAATTAAAACATTTTAAAATATGTACAAAACATATGGGGTTTTGTGGTTGAATTATAAGCAAATTGCTTTTAAAGGTACCTGTAAAATGTGACTTCCCAAATGTGCTTCAAATACTTCAATAGCGAGTGCACTGGGGCTCCTCCTTCGTTGTGCACCTGTAACTTAAAAGAAAGAAGCAAAAAAAGGGAAGAAGGAAAAAAAGAAGGGAGAGAAGAGGGGGGAAAGAATTAAGTTGAAGCTCAGATTGCATATCTCCAACTTAATTTATCTCTAATTATATTAGTAGTTAGTTACTCTAACAATGAAATTAAAAAAAAACACAACACCCAACGCTAATTTTTATACTGCATTGTCTGAGCATATGCAAAACCTAGAATAAATTTTCCACTCAGTATATCAACTTCTAGAAGCATTAAAAATGATAAGCAACCTTCGAACTTTTTTAATTCCCACTTTCATCTATCACAACCTACAAGATTGTTTTAAAACTCAACTCATAAACTGTTTCCTAACATTAGGATATAGACATTTTAAAGCATATACACGTTGATTTTCCTCCCTCAGAGAAACCTAAACTTTTCATATCCTTTAGGCTGCTAATTTCTTTTTAACTTTAGTATATTAAATGTAATAACTCTCTTGAAATTTCACAGTATGTTGGCTATAATTGAATTGCACTGAGACTTTAATTAATGAGCAACATTCGTATATCAGAGTGGCTGGATTATGTTTTCACTGAATATTAACATTTAACTATTCCTAAAATCCGATGAGAAGTTCCGGTATGCTCTTCGCTACATGCCCTCTAGCAGATTGGTGATGGGTCCTTAACTGGAGGCACATGGAGCAGCCCTGTTCTCTAAGCAGCACTCAGTCTCTTGCCAGCATAACCTCACGCTTTGATTGTAGATCCCTTCTCTACTCACAGAGCCCCCCAACCCTTGACACACGTGGACTTAATGTAAAATCGAGGCCCTCTTCTTTACAATTGTCTTATATGTGGTCCTAATTGGATTTTAAATTTCTGGACATCTTTGTTCCCTCTACTTTGTAAAAATTCTCACGGTCAAGAAAACTGGTTTTGTTTATAGGGACGCCGAAGAGAACGTGTTTAGCTATGGTATCTGTTTTTAACAAGTAAACTTGCATTCCCTAAAAATTTTATTTCAAATGGATGTTCCCCACCAACACAGACATCACAAACTGAAAAGCAAATCAGCCCCTCCCCCCTTATCCTACTTCTAAAAATACTTTCAGCTTGTTGACAAGACATTTCCAGTGAAAGGGTGCTGGGATCATCTGGTTTCATTTCAGTGGCTGCGTCCGTCAGTCTGATCCATAGCTTAGTGGGGGTAAATGCATTTATGCTTCTTGGGCCATGCCAAAGTGAGGCGTTCACCCCTGCTATTCAGTTAGTGTCTGCATGTCTGCAAGCGCACTCTGAAAACGGCAAGGGTGTGAAGGGTCATTCCGGCTGGCAAGGTGAAAAAGGGGCTTTTTTTAAACAATGGAAAATTTTTTGAAATGTAATTGAAGAATGAGTATTATCAAAGATTTCCACTGGAAGGGCTCTTAGAGCGCTCCCCTATAACCTTTTCCATTTGGTTCAGAAGTAAAGCACACAAGTAATATTTTTAAGACAGACGAGTCAGTTTTCCTATGCTAAGATTAATCTTTGATGTAAGTAAAGGAATCAATTTCTAAAAGTTTAATATTCAGATAAACTTAAGACGTGTGTGCACGCGTGGGTTTTCTGATTAATTTCCTATTCTAACATGCACATTACTCCCTTCAAAATTCCTTTGGCAATTTTGATAATGCAGCTGTCTTGCTGAATACTGTTTTCAGTTTCTAGAGTGTTAATTGCACATTATGGTAGCTTGGTGCGAATGATCCCACATGAATAAAATCTGCAGCCTTTTTTTTAAAGATTGCACGATGGGCGGTTTCGGGAGGGAGAAGGGGGAAGCTGGGAAACTTCTAAAATGTCCACTCTGTGTTTTGAGGCAGTCCTTATGCTTCAGAAAGTTCCCGAGTGGAAGTCCATCGCTGGAGCGCACTTCAGTACTTCCCATTCCAAAGTTCAAAATAATCGGCTGTCTTTCGGAGGGAGCAATTAGAGTCCAAAATATCATCGGACATGTCCAAAGAATTGATTGTGGTCTAGTAGGTTGCGGGGACTGTCCCAGGAACAACAGATGGCTCACCTGCCTTCGAAAAATTGACTTCTAGAAGGTGTTGTTAGAGTGATACAGGCATGGCCATGAAGGGCCTTTCTGTTCCTACCTCCCCCCCCCCCCCCTGAATGGTTAGCCTCTTCTCTAAATACATGTTGCAAATAAATAACAATTTTATTGAAAGAACCCATTAGCTAGCCGTTGGTTTGCACGTCTTCATAGGAACATACATCCATGTAGCCCATGCGCATAGTTACTCTTTGTTCTTCAAATCCCCTAGAAATGCGAGTGTGCATCCCAGGATATGTTAGCTTAATACACAAGTACTTGTAAGTAGTTTCATGCTCTTCTATTCAATGGCATTTTTATGACCCTGGAACTTCTCTTGATTTATATGTTTTGCACTTACACAAGTGATGTGGGGCTGTAATGACAGTTCCTAATTTTACAACCCACATAAATATGTTAAACAGGAGCCCATTAAGGCCCTGCTAGGGGTGCAGCTCGGGCACTAGCATTATTGGTAACTGCATAGATGTTAAATATGTACTTCCTCTCTCCGACTTTTTATCCTGTTGTATTTGGCATTTTGATAGTTGAGACAATAAGCTGAGAACTCTGGAGCAATGCCAATATAGTTATTTTGATGTCATTAACTTTATAGAGTATCACTGATGTCTGAAGAAGCATTGAATGGCCCTATCCATCGTAAGACCCAGTGTCCTCACTGCTGCTTACGTAGATTTCGCAGATTTCTGTGTCTGAGAAGTTGACAGTTTCTAAGGCTACTGGGTGGGACGGACACAATGGGCACTTATTACTGAACAAGGTATTGTTTTCATTTAATCTGATCTACGGACATATTCCAGTGATCTGTTTGTTCAATTGAAAAACAAACCCCAACTTTTTGAAATTTAAAGAACATTAATTAAATTAACAAACACCACCATAGCGTATTGCTAAACAAATGGAATGTGCGATTCTTTAATACACGCTGATACTGAGATGTGATTTTTTTTGACATTTTTTTAATTAGTTGGGATTTAATGCATATTTTGTATGATGTCATATTTCATTCACATCAAGTGAGACATGTGATCTTAATTTTATTAGTTTACTGATAAAATAAATCAAAGGTTGCCTCAAAGTGTTAAAAGAAACCAAAGAACATATTTTGGAAATGAGGATGCAACAAATGTGCAAATGGGTTTGACACAATGGAAGGATGTCTGGATTGTGATAAGAGTTGTATGAGCCCTCAATAAAATGATTTTTTTAAAAAACAAAGAAACCAAAGATTTAATCATAGTAATTCATCCTGCAGTAAAGTTAACAAATATCTACCATGCACCAAGATGTTGAGCACAGGGCGCTTAGCCATGTAGCCAGTGTTATGAAATGACCTGAGCATTGGGCTAATCAACAGCCCCAAAGAAAAACAATGTTGAACATTTTCAAATAAACTTGGGTCCAGCACATAACTAAACACAACAGCACTGCGTTTCACAAGAGTTAAAAATAAAGCACCAAGCGCTACACCGGTTTTAAGGGGAAGAGAGCAACAGAGAAGGGATTTTGAAAACCACCTAGAGACACCCTAATGGTCCCTTTCAAACATCCAAAAGAGGATGAGCAACCATTTGGGCCTTGCATTTGGCCCTTCTCTCCTCACGAAGGTGAAGGAGTCCACAGCCTGAAATGTAAGTTGGTGTCCCTCACCGATGTCGGCACAACGTCCCCATCTAGCCTCTTCCGCATAAGCTCACATTGTGGCTTTGAGAATGAATTCCCCGCGGCGGCCCTACAGACAATCACTCTGCTGGGAAGCAGACCACACGCCCGCAGTCACATCCGTAACCAGGGCTCGTCACCTTTGGGAGGCCCAGACGTGAGGAAGGCGGAGGCTTAGAGCTCTGCGGGAGCTTGACCTATTCAGCCAAAAGGTCAGCTTGCCACAGAAGAACCCATTACAAAACAGAAACAGGACAGCTCAGTGGACACACATCATGAAAGGCAGCCGAGTCAGGGGCCCGACATGCCTGGGTCCTGCGCTGCCCTTTTCCTTCGGCACCCTCCCTGCCCCCACTTCCAGAGCAGGAGGAGCCAGGAGAATCCACAAAAGGAAGGGAGCTCACGGGCAGAATGAGGCGAAGGTCTCCTTGTTTAAGGCATCCTTTGAGAAGAGAGTATAAAGTAGAGAGGAGTATGAAACTGCATTTCCGATGGATGGCTTATTCAGAAACAATTGGCATGGTCAGAGAAGACAATGGTAGGGTACTTTCTCACTCCCACCCTCACCCTCACAGCAGAGAGCAGCGTGACATGCCACAGACATATGCTGCCTTAAAGTTCTGCAGAGCATATGTGAAGAACGGAATCAACCATCAAGTGCAAAACTGAGCTTCGTGCCCTGTTGGCTCTCAAGCTCTTGCTTTGATGGCTTCCTTCTGTGTGCTGCATGTACGGGGGCAGGGACGTGTTCGTAGGAGGGGAGGGGAGACTGCGGAGCATGCTAAATGGAATCCGCAGACATTACTGCCTTGGCTTTAGCAACCGAGCTAAGTCCAGTCAGAGTCTGGGAAAGAATGGGGTAGAGAAGGCTTAATGAGTCCTTCCATAGCTACTGAAGGCAAAGGATGTCCCCTGAAGATTCTAAATAAGCCTCCCACCCTGTAGGGCCATAGAAGCCAGAGAGTGGTTTCCCAAGAGCCTCAGGTGGCTATAAGGGGTGTGCGCACGTGCACCTATATGTCTTTCCATATGGGCAGCTGTGTTTGCCTATCACAATGTACTCTGCTATGCTTGCATTTAATATGGGGCCAAATCATCCTGTTGGAATGGGTGTGCCCAGCTCTGCTACCCATGTGCGCAACTTGTCTCTTTTCCACTTCAACGTCCTTGGTGTTGGCACATGTCTTAGACCCCAAGCTTATTCCAGGCCATGATGGGAAGACACACTGAAGTACTTAGTGTTAGGG